ACTATCTGAGGAGTCAGTGCAGCTCTCCCTCTGCCTTGACCAGTGCTGCCATGAGGTGCCTGGCTGTGTGATACCCCCATCCCCTGCTAGGATTTTTCCCCATTGCTGCTCTCTTCTGCCTAGTCCTGGTGATCACTGGCTGCCTGGTGATCACACAGCTGACATTCAGGCAAGAAATTCCTCCCTTCTTGCTGTCTTGCACTGAAAAATTGATCAAAGACTACATTTACTTCCTGTCAGGAACCTTGACTCACATTGCTTTCCAGTGTCCTTGTGGGATTGATGCCAGCCTACACTGCCCTTTAACAAGGAATCACAATTTGAAAACCTCATGTTACGTACACTCTCTTCTTCCAGGTTTTATTTCTTGGTGTAATTGAGCAGCATAGATCCCTGAGTGGTCACAGTTTTATTTTTCTACAATCTTGACCTGTGTCTCCAACTGCAAGCAATGTAAGGAATGATTCCCAGACACCATTTCTTTTCTCTGGAACTGAGCTTCAAGGCATAGCTTGTCACAAAAAGCTGGTTGTGCAAACTCTGTGCAAACAAATGTCTCTGTAATACCTTGCTAACTCCTCATGTACTGTACCTGTTTGCTGAGCCCTCAGCAGGCACATGGCTGCCTGTTAACCCTTTCCAGAAAGATGCACATCTCGGGCTCCTGGAGAGCTTCATTCCTGAGCTGCTGTTCCCTGATGTTGAGCACAGCCTGCAGATGCAGCTGTCCTGATCCAGAAGATGAGAGTTTGCATGAGCAAAAATGTACTTAAACTGTTAAAAGTTACTTACACTTATTCTGAATCTTTTTAAGAAAGGCTTAGAACCAGGTTGCCTCCCAGGAGAACAGGAGCCTTTAACACTGTCCATTTGAGAAAAAACAATGGTGTTATAGAGTCAGTGTTTTACAGAAGTTATTTTCCTTAGGACTTCAGTGGCTTCTGGCTATAAGAGGGAAGAATTACAATATAGTGTCCCTTTGCATGAGGGGAAGAGAACAAATAACAGACTTTTCATAGTAACTGGGTAGACTTTGCCTATGCTAACTATTGTAAGAATAGACAGGGAGGAAAATAAACACATGCCAGAAAATTAAATGCTCTGGAAAACAGAAGAGGTCTGAATGGAAAATAAGCAAAATAAGTGTATACAAACCACTAGAAGCTCCACCCCTGCTGCTGACTTGTTAAGTGGGGGCAGGGGACCAGAGAGCTCTGCAGCAGTGGAAAATTTTTTGTCCACTCCAGACTGGTTGAAATTGCTGTAGTCTGCATTGCATCTGGAGGACTAATTGTAAGCATATCTTCAATGCAGTTATGAATCATTAACACAGGGCCATTCAGAAGGAGTAGTGCTTTGAGACATATGTGGAAAGCAAAGAATGGAGCAACTAAGCACATGAAGCACAACACATTTGACTAGGAACTGCACTCCTGTGGCACAATGTGAACACCTAAAAATTCTAAAGAGACGAGGAAAGCTGGAAAGTTAGCACACAATTTCTTTTCCATTTGCTTAGTATTTCTCTTGATTCAAGAGAATCATTCAAATCACTCCCTTATTCTGCTCCCAGCTGAACCCACCTCCTCTGCCCTTGCCAGCCTCTCCATACTCCACAAAGTGAAGAGGGCTCCCAGTGTATCCTGGATCCAGGCTTGTTCCCAAGAGATTTGTGTGACTGAGGTATGGATTTCTGAAGGGGAGGCAAATTTCATATATTAGGACAGGCCACAAAACATAACAGTGGTCAGCTGTCTGTGTTGCTCCCAGGGCCCCTGGTCAAAGTGCATAAACTATTTCCAGTAATCTGTAGTCCTCTGAGAGCACAAGGAAAGCTGTGTAGCCACTTTCACCATCAGTGGGGCTTCATTGCCTCCCTAGGCAGAATTCATCCAGCCCTGAGGATGAGAATCATTGTGCTGCTTCACCAAAAATCAATAGGTATTGCATCATTCCTAAGTGACAGCAAACACAAAATGCAAATTACAGCAATGTCAATAAAGGTTATTATCTTCCAGGCTGACTGCCGAAGCCTGGCTCCCATTCTGAAACCTGCCAGAGTGAATCTAAGGCTGTGAATGAATGAAATACTTAACCTGGGGCCCTGGGCTGAGTTCAGTAGGTAATGGATAAGGGCTATACTTGTATTGACTGACTCTTTAACTCTGTGGGTTTGCTTGCATTCCAGATTGTCTGCCTTTGATGAGGAGTGTCTGAATTTTACGAAGCCTTTTTTGTTTGTGAAGAATTTTTCTGGTGAGTAATATGTTGGTAAGGATATAAGCATGGACAGAGTTCTATCTTAAACCAGTTGGCTTGAACTGTAATATTAGTTTTGGAGCTTTTATATTTACTTTTCACCCAAGATAAATATCTTGGGAAATGCTTACTTGAAATCAGGATTACATTATGTTCTTTTTTTTTCATGATCTTATGGCAGTTCTTTGAAGTCTTCGGCATGGTAACAAAATAAAGATTAACATTCTGATGCCTTAAAATTTGAGATCTTGAGTAGCAAAAAATGTGAGTTCCTTTTCTGTTTGTTTGCACTGTCCTTTATTTCAGGCATGATTATGACGTTAGAAGTCATATTCTGCATACATGGAGCATCCATTGAAACTCACAGGTTTTTCAATAAGGTGATGTGCTTGTTGTAAAACATGAGAGATGTAAGATAGATATTAAAGGCAGAAAATTATTCTGCCATTTGGCTGAGTATTTCTGAGATGTCAGCTGCTTGTGGATTGGGGCTGTTGTGAAAGAATAATGATGTTTAAAACTCAGTGTTTAAGAAAGTCATTTTCTTCCTTTTTCCTGTAGTCAGAATTCAAGTTTGGACTTGCCAGCTTCTGTTCTTAGGAATCCCTACTCTTGTGAAATGCTCCCTTGAAAGATACACATATCTTCTCACAGACAGCTGTCAGACACACACACACAACTTTGCACAGCTGTTCTCCACACTTCATTTTATTGATTTTCATAGGCCTTTTCAGACTGTTCCCAGCTCATCTCTGATAAAAGCTGTCCTGCCTTTCCTATGGCTTGTTCACAGTATATAGCTACTGTGTTCATCATATTTATAAATATCCTCCTAATTAATTGTCCAAAAGTGTTGCATCTCTGCCCAGTTTCACAGGACATCACAGAGAGCAGTGGGTTTGGCTCTGAGGTTTTTCATTGCAACACCATGAAAGTCTTTTGGGGAAGAGATTGTATTTGTACAATGGGACATGTGCCAGGCTGGAAATTCTGGGTTTTATTGGGACATCCATATGAAACATCACCAAATATAAACTGATATGAAGATTTTTCCAAGAACTGTTAGTTGCATGCACTTAGTCACCAGGAAAGTAGAGGTTAAATCCCTTGTACACAGTAGAAAAATCCTGGGAACAATTTTTGTTTAGATTTGTAGTCATATTACCCAGTTGGGATATATTTCAAATTAGCTTTGTGTCTCAATCATTGCTGCAATTCATTTAGGTGAATTACTTAAAAAAATAAATTTTTATTGGTCTATGGACATGTGGCAAATATCTGTATGTTGTCAATATCTGTATTTTTTGGGTCCTGGATACAGATCATTATATTCATATCCAAGTTATTGCAACATGACAGAAAATTAATAAAAGCTGTTCTTCAGAAAAATAAATTTTGACCAATTCTTGTGTGCACAGTCAATTTGCTTTGGGTTTAGTTCTTTAATATTTTTTTTCCTGTCTCTGATTATTTTATGCATAGAGATACTGCTGATGGTTCCAAGAGTAAAGACAGTATTTATTTTTACATCCCTTTCCTTTTTAAAGGATCCCCTTTTTTTGTTCTGTTTGTTTTGAAAGGGGATTTGTAGGTCTGAATACAGTGAGTACTGAAAATTTGCTAGAAAGAAGGTTGTCAGATTTGAGGTAGGGGCAGGTGGATCCTAGGTCAGCCTTGTCTCTTCATTATTAGAACATATATTTAAACACATATTTTCTGCCAGTGAATAAACTCTCTGCTTTGTCTTCCAGCACTTCAGGACTCTAAGGAAACTTTTATCTGCATTGTACGTTCCACTCAAAGCAAAATTTGTATTTAAACTGAGTCTGCTTGGCTGAAAGATAAAAAGTAAAGGACTTTAAGAGCCTTCTGGAATGTTACACAGGTGAGAATAGATTAACTTTTCTTGTGTTTTTTCTGGAAAAATAATTGGTACATCCAGGCCAACTCTCTCTTCCTGTTCCCATTTTTTGTCATCCAAAATGCAAAGCTTCTGAGAATGTTTTTTGTCTGCCATTTAAAAGATTCATTTTTCCTTCATGCTTTCATTAGACATTTCTAACCCAGAGTCCCATCTCAAAACATCTAATTCCAGATGTTGTTTAGAAATAAGGGTAACCATGGCATCTGCGGAAAACTGAAAAACTTTTGTGCACTCTTAAAGTAAGACACAGTAGTTAGATTGTCTGAATTGAAATGTTATACAAGGCTAGTTCAAGTAAGGTCTTGGACTCAGTTAACCAAGTGCATGACAATGAGCTAATTGACTGCTGGTTTAAAAAAAAAAAGGAAAAAATAAAAGGAAAAATATATCTAACAGCAGGACAATAATTTATTAAAATATTTAGCTTTTCTGATCTTTCACAGTCTTATGACTGTGAAATGGCTGGGATTTCTGAGAGAATATGGTCTTTGGGGATTTTCTTCAAGGAGCATTTTTTTTTTCTGCATCAGTTCTGACAGAAAGGGCCAGAGTCTCTCTGGCATTAACTCCCTTCACTGGTTCTGACGTACCCTAGCCCAATGCCTTAGTCTTTTAAAAGTATTTATAGTAGGTGTAATTCATTTTCCCAGCAGCATATTCCCTTTGAAACCAGTAAAATGGCAGAAGCTGGAAAGCCAGGATGATGCAGGGAGCAGGGCATGAGTCCAAGCCTTGCCCTAGACTGACTATTCAGCACATCAGATGTTACAGAAGGACCTTTCCCCTGCCATCTGCTCTTTGGTGTGTTCGTCTGGGAGCCTTTACTGGCCTGCATTTTGCACCACATGCTATATTAATGGAACAGCTCCTCTCCCAGCTTGCTCTGAGGATGACCTGGTGATGGGCACCAAAAGCAAGAAGGCTGGGCAGACAGAAAGAGAGAAGTGTGAAAACTGAGGAGAACACATAAATATCTAAATAAATACAGTCTCTTCTCCTGGCTTTGGTTTTCCATCCTGCCCGTGGGCTTGTGTTTGAGACATTACAGTCTGTTGCCATAGCACTTGTCCTGGTACCAAAGGGCCAGCTAACTGGTGTTTGCATCAAGGCAAGTTAATAAAATTATATTCTGCTGATGACCAAAGGACAAAAATTACCTTTTGCTTTTTTCCCTTTTTCAAGCAGAGAGTCAGGGACTAAAGGATAAAAGGGATGCAGAAGTTTCTAGAACTAAGTAAAGCCATGCAGTCAGGTCAGCTTAGTTTTTGCATTTATTTCATCAGAATTCAGCCCTTTTCTATTCTAGTTTATTCTAGATGAAATTTCAACCCTTCTACCAGCCCCACTGTAGCTCTCAGCACTTCCCAGGGGTTTGGGGTTGTTGGGAAGATGTAATGGAATGTTTCTTGGAGTAGTAGAAGTGCTTCTTGCAGCAGGTCTCACACTCAGCAGAGCCTGCTGTTCTCTGAAGGAGCTGATATCATCTATTCCTGCCCAGTTCTCCAACAACTGGAGTGATTTCAGTCTGAGCAGGCAAAGACATCTTCCACAGTGTCTGCTGTGTCAGTGCTCAGGGTATCAGAGGCTGCTTACCATTTCTTGGGTTTCTTTTCTTTCAGGCCTTGTGAAAATTGCTGATTTTGTGAGAAGCAAACTGTAAAGGAGATCTGCTTGTTTATACAGAGACCAGCTGGCAGTCCACCACACCATATCACACGATACCATACCGTACCATACCATACCAAGCGTACCTCATCTCAGAAAGTGTCTGAACAAGTGACACCAGGGTAACCCTGGGCCTCTAGACACAGCAAGTAATAGTCAATATAAGTGAATAGTGGGCCACAGAAGCCAAATGAATTAAAAGACAGTTCATCTGCTCTCATTGCTGACAGAATATTAGAGGAGGAATAAAAAATCTATTATTTAGTCTTGCAACACTGATTTGCTAATAATTTATTGCTTATGGTGTATCCCATGCAGTCAGCAGAGTATGGCTCAGAGAGGCACTTATGATGTTCAACAGGAAAAAAAGGAATTTGCATTTTGAATGCTGATGTTACAGGTTCCCCCTTACTCTGGAGAAGAAATATACAGGGAGCATTAAATCATGCAGCACTTTTAGGCATTTTTCTCTCCTTCCTTGTGACAGCAATATTAAGTTGTTCAGTTCTGTGGGAGTTATTAACACCTTCAGAGTCACGCTTAGGGCTGGAGGTGCTGGAAAGGAGAAGAATAATGGAATATCCTCAAGAACACCACAGAAAGAATGGAATCAATTTTCTTGAACAAAGACAAGGATTCTTAGGCTCTGAGTCACACATCATGAATTTCTGAAGTGTCACATTTAGATGGAGGAGAGAGAATTACACTGGGACATGAAAAAATGCCTGTTTGACTTCTTAAAGAGAGAAGGCTTAAGCTTTGTAAGACATGTGGTACAGAAGATTGTTCTGACAGGCTTGTGCTGTATGGAAGGTAGAGATCACTGCTTTCATGCTTCAGGGGAAAGCCTCAGCAGCACAGGACAGAGTTGGTGTGGCTGTTACCAATGTTCATCCTACTTAGCAAGCCAAGATAAGACTTCAGAATCACTCATTGATCCGTGACTCTGAAAGGTATGGAAGATTAGCAAGTAGCATTTGAAGAGGTTTAGATTGCTGTGAGAGCTCTGGAGTGGGAATTTAATGGTACTCATAGTCTACAGCAGCACTAAGCAACTCCAATGCTGCTGTGAGGGACTGACTGAGCTGCTGACTAATTCATGTCAGCATCTGACACATGTCCTTCAGTGACATTGATGCTTCAGCCTAAGAGTGGATTTATATCCTTAGCAGTTCTATTTTATATGTGAAAAGGCATTGTGGGACTTATTCTGTTCCTCAGATCCCCGTTTTAGCTGCTTGCCAGCTATAAAAGCAAACAACCTAAACTCCCAGTCTGAGATAAGATACTGAGGAGTCGCATGTGGGTATGGATCACAGCAGTTATTGGAGCCCTGCACACTTGAGAGATGTACAAGGAAATAGACTGTGGCAGCTGACACAAACCTGAGTGCTTCAGCTTTTGAAAAGAAAAGATGGGGAGTGCACAGAGGCCAGCTCCCTCTTCACTCAAAGAGACATCAGCAGGGTGTATAAGGACTGTTTGCAAAAAGGAGGAGTTGGCATGGTTTTGCAGGAAACTGAGTGAGTTTTGGGACTTGGGTCTTGTTTTCTGTCAGAATGCAATAGCAGGTTGGTTTGGTTTTGTCTTTCTGCAGGGACTTTTTCAAGAGTGGAAACACCTTGATTCATCCTGCTGTAGTCTTTGTGATGCTGGGCATGCTGTGGTCATCATCAAGGGTAAGGGGAGATTCTGATTTTCAGTACCACTTGTGCCACTGTGTGTTTAGACATAGATGTCTAATTTTAGCCAATATATATTTTATTTTATGTAAAATAAAATAGAATATACAAGGAAGACGTTTTAGGTGAAAGAATCAGTTCTTTCAGGTAAGCATGTATCTGCATAGATAAAAGGCATAAGGTAATAAAGGAGGTGCCAGGATGACACTTGCAGTGATGTCCTTTTCACATCACAGCAACAGGTAGGGAGAAAGTGGAAAAATTAGGCTATCCTACTGAAAAAACTTTCTAAAGCCATCTAAAATATATTACTCAGACTGAAAAATTGTTCAGATTGTTTGGGTTCACATAGCTGATTAAAATATAAGATTGTAATAAGAGGCTCTTAGACTTTTCACATCTCTAGGAAATGTGACATCTCTGGTAGTTTTAGAGCCATCTCTACCTTCTCCCTGAATAAGAGGGAAGGAGCATCTGCCTACTGAATCTCCTGTGTCTGACACAGTATTAATATAATTCATGCTTGCCTGCCTTGTGAGATATCATGGTATCGCACTACAAGAGCACTTTGCTACAGTGACAGGTTTATATTTTGAGCTGAAGAGTCTCTTGCAGATAGAACACGCCAGCTGTACTTGTCTGAACACTGACAGTGGCCTAGAGGCACTGATTTCAGCAGGTTGTGCATCAGCAGAGTGCAACAGCACAGCAGGGAAGCCAGTATATTTTCATGCCTTTTATGCAGAGCAGGAACACTGCACGGTCATAGGCTCTGAAAAAGCCAATAGAACCCTAAGTTCCTGAGAAATAGTAATTAATCCATTTAGGAACTACTGCAGTGGGAAACATTACAATACCCAGCACGAGTTGCCTACCTTGGTGAGGAACTTTCTTCTCGTGTTGTTGCAGTTCTCGTTTGCTGCAGCTTTGGACTGGAGGATGCTGGTGACCACACGTGGAGGATCAGGTGGGCTGTCCTCTGCCTCTGCTGTGTATGGCAGCTGAGTTCTGGGACAGCAGTTAAAATCCTCTTGACCCCAGCTTGTATAGCTCTCCAATGGATCAGGGTATTTCTCATCAGGACTTGACCCATCATCGCTGGTTTTGGCATTGCAGAGTATGAGGGATCTTGAAATGGAGCGAAACTTTCTTGACTTCCTGTTCCCAGCACTGTTCTTTTGATCCATCTTCAGAGAGCTGCTGCTCTTTTTCCTATCATTCTCCCATTTATGTGGCATGATACTTTGAGTAGTTTTCTCTGCTTCTGTGGTGCTAAATATCCTCCAGGAAAGGAAATATAAAAGTAAGTTGTAATATACCCTACTTTCTCCCACTTAATAACCTACGCTACTGGAAAGCCCTAATGAATAAATCGAATCAACAGAGCCTTTCAGTCTGAGAACAGCCACGTGATATCTCATGACTTGCTAATTCTGCTTCTGTGCAGAGCTCTCCTAGATCCTCCTTCACCTTTTCATTCTCTTGCCATGTTACCCAAGCAGAGTGGAGTGCTTTTGATAAATGTTTGTGATGCTGCCATTGTCTGCTTGCTTTGGGCATCTGCTGAATTTGCATGTTGAAATCCCAAATTGAAAAGGAAGATACTTTAAAAGCATTACTCTATCCTCCTAATATTATTTGGAAAGAAGAAGCTCCTTCTGAAGTTTGATTCATGAAACCACTATAATTCAAAGAAGATTAATCAAATTGTCAACTCTAAATTCTCTGCCTGGCACATCCAAGTTGTAAGTGGTTTAGCAAAAGTCGATCTTAGCCTTGAGAGAGTAAGGGATGTCAGGCTGCCATAAAGCTTCCACCTTTGCAAACCAGAACTCACTTTAGACTGTGCATGTAAGAGTAACAGAGGGATCCAGTGAAGCACTTAAGATGTGAATATCTGATTAGAGATTGAATTCTATAAAGGAATACACCTCCAGTACATCAATCAAAAAGTGTCCTATTACAGAAATGGTTTATTTCAGCACATGATTCAACATATAAAATTAAGATAAACTGGAAAAAAAAATATACGATCAAAATATAGCAAAATTTGGAGCTTTTGTAAAATGAGTAACATAATGAGCATTTTAAGATAACAAAGTAGTTAAAACTCTCTCAAATTTTTTTTTCTAGAAATGCTATGGTAGGTATGTGTCAGCTTAAAATTTCAACAAGAGGATGTCTAAATTAATTAGACTCTCTCACCTAAGTTCTATCATAATATTTACTACACAAACTTTTCTATTCTCCTCACAGAACCTAACTGATACCAGTGTTGCCAGTCTAGAGAAGATACCGACTAAAATGTAAGTACTTGCATAAATCAAAGATGCTGTAGGTGTTATACACAAAACTGAAAATCAATGTAGTTTGAAAAGCATTTTCAGGTATCCTATTGAAAGAAAAAGTTTGTCCATTGTGCTCTTAACTGGGCTGTTGCATTTGGTTTGGGGTTTTTTCCCATGTTTCTATGCAGAATTAAGAAGATATGTATATATGCACTTTGTACCTGAAGTTCCACTGGTGATACAGACAGAAAAAAGGCAGATTTTCTAAAGGCTCCTTGCAGCCACAATAATAAACACAGGCCTACAAACTCAGACCAAGCCAGGATAATAAATCCAATTCAGCCTGGTAATAAAGCTGCAGCATTATTTTTCTTGGGGTTTTTTTCCTTATACAATTAAACAGGAAGAACAAAAGCAGATGATAAACACTATGCCACTGAGCATCTGCCTAAAGGAGCTACATGGCATTGCTGGAGAAATTCACAGTTCAGCATGAATCTGAATTTGCTTGAATTTGTAAAAACAAAATAATTTTCAGGTGCAGCAGAGATGTCCCAGGGAGAAGGATGTTTATTTGTGCAGTCTTTTCTGGTGTTTTTGCATCGGTAATACTTCTTCAGCTTTCCATCATATTTTCTATCACACCAGTCCTATTATTGCTCAGCCCTTATGTCTCTTTTCCCAAAACAAAATCCCTAATGCTTCAGAAACTCGTTCCCTGATTATTGGAACTCGAGGGATTTCCTTGCAAGACACTATTTCAGGGCAAAGTTTGAAAGTAGCCAGAATATGTCAAGTTCCCCAAAGCTGGTGTGTTTCTGCCCCTCTCTGTGTGTCTTGGGGATCCTCTCTGCTCCTGTGAGAGTCTGACTCCACTGGATTGGAGAAGGGGAATGGAGGTCACTGGGCTCCCAGCCTCCCTGAATTGGCATGGGGGAAGCTTTCAGGTTCAAACTGGACTTGCATATTCTCCATCCCCTTCAATTCACAGAACATTCTACTTTTTTCTTTTTTTCAGAGCAGCCTCTCTTATGAATGATGAGTTTGGTGTGATTGAGAGCTGCCCAGCAGTACAGCCACGCTCTCTTCCTGTGACACAGAGCACATGAATGTAAGGTTTGGAGATCTTGTTTGTGACTTTTTAAAAATGCACTTTTTAGTGTTTTGATAAGCCTAAAGCCCTAGTCTACAATCATGATATACATGATATACAATATACATGAACTAATTTTTGAACTTGGAAATCCCCACTGTTAGCATCTCTGAAATCCCCACTGTTTTTGGAAATTAATCTTGTTAAAGCCTATGATGTTGTGTTTCTTGTATGTCTAAATGTAAAAATGCAATCTGGCCCATTAGACCCGAATGTGGAGCTGAAAAAGAAAGAATGGCTGGGATGAAGGGAATTTCTGCAAGTCTCTACTCTCTGCACCTGGGTAGGAAACAACAGAGCTGGAGGTGAGTGGAATGTGCATCACTTGAAAATCTGCTATAGGGATCAGTGATACTGGAAATTGCTTTTAGACACTGATAACACCACCACAAATGTACCCAAGCTGCACATTCAGACCTAAACAGTCCTGCCTATGTGGGGAAACTAAAAGAAAGAACACTTTTCATTCAAGTATTTCATTTTTGCACAACATTAAACACACTCTTGCTTTTCTCAAAGAGGAAGATTTTTAAAAGAGCTATTGAGCATTTGGATAAGCAGAGGACTTGATAGCTTAATGGTCAGAATGCAGCTGTCTGGAGACAGGCATGCTAGAATGAAGTCCTTTCTAGCTCTGCCTGAAGCTCGTGGGCTGAAGGGAGAACTGCCATCTGTACTAAACGTCCAAGAGGAGCCTCTCTGGCTCTGCTAAACATCTGGGATGCAGGGACGATGGAAGCACCTGTTGAAACACGGGTCTAAGTGCATCCTGCTTTCCCATCCCACTGTAATGCTCCTGAGGAATTTTATCTTATGCAGAGAGAACTCTTTGCCCTGCTCCATCAGCTGTTTCCTCCTCCCCTGCCCCCATGAGAGCTCCATCCACTCAAAGGCCAAGTTTAACCCTGAATGACTTACCCAATCCCACAGTGAAGCAGGGGCTGACGTGAAAATAAACCCACTAGACCTGAAGATTTCCAGTTAAAAACTTGCTCTTGCTATAAGTATTAGATCACAAGTCCTAACTAAGGCAACATTCTTTCCAGAGCTGCTGATTCAGGGTTGCATAAGTGACAGAAATATAGGAGGTACCAAAAACATACTCTATAAGCTTTCCAATAAAAATAACCAGAAAAGCTATTTTACACAGCATACAATATCACAAGTACCAGAGAAGCTCTATGATTCATTGCCATCTTCCAATAAATTTAATTTGAGATATTGATGGCCATGGACAATTACTTCAAAGTCAATTCTCCAAACCATTCATCTTTTTCTCCAGTGTACTCACTGCTTGTCATTTTCTTTTGCCATTCTTATACCTCCAGCTTGCCTGATGGAAGCTGTCTGTGGTTTGTAATGCAAACCAAATGTTCCCTCTATGTTTCATTTTTTCCCCCCAAGCTTTATTTTTCCAGCCTTAAATCTTAAAATCCCAAACTCAGACTGTCTTCTGCAAACAAAATACATGATCTGAGCTGTAGCCATTTGGTTCAAATTTTTGGTTGGATATTAAACCAAGCATTTACAAGATACAAATAATTTGGTGTAGCTCCCAGATTGAATGCGAATGCTCTGCTGTTAACCAGACAGTAGGAAATACAGGACTTTACTAGCAAGAACAAGATGAGTTTTACATTACCAAGTGCTAGCAGCATCCTCTTTTAATCTAGATCTTGCATCCTAATTTAGTCTAGATCTTGTGATCTTACTCAGATTCATTGCTGCGCAGTACTATTAGCACTGAAGTATTGCAGATGTCTAGGGTTTCCCCACAGCAGGTAGAGCTAAAGATTTGGAAGTTTTCTAATGCAGAGTAAGAAACTCTCAGAGAGTAGAATTAAAAAATTATAATTAAAAAACCCCTGATGGTAAAATAAAAATTTAAAAGGAGGAACTTACAACAGCAAGGCAGACAAACCTGACTCCTGCAGAAGGCTGTTCCTCTTCATAGGCCTGGCAAAAAAAGACAGAGTGAATAATTGAAAACACACTCTCCTGGTGCCACGTGACTCAGTTTCAGTAATTGTGCTCAGTACATTGGAACGGAGCTATTGTTTCCTAATTGAGGAAAATGTCAGCAAGGCTAGATAAACAAAAGCAATGGGATGCAGTATTGGGGAAGCTGTTTCCAGCAGGCTCCCAGCTACCCAGACATGGCAGCATTTAAGGATTTTGTGCCATTTGTTTTCACCCATCGCTCTCTGGTCCAAGGTTTGATGGGTTCAGGCATGTTAAACCCACCTGAGGGGAGTTGGGGCAACAGCAGAGTCTGTGCTAATCCAGTGAAGGTGTTCTGTTGGAGGCTGAGATGGCAAGAAAGTTTCTTGTATTTTTCAGCTGATATTTTAACATTAAACTAGTAAGAATTCTGTAGACAAATTCTGCTCCAGGAGCAAAACATAAGAGGTGCAACTTTTGAATGAAAGACCCCTGTATTGTTCACCATGAACACAATCTCTTTGATTTCCCAGTACTTAAATACTTTCCTCTTTATGGGCTAGACTACAACTTTGTGATTCCACCTGATTAAGGACTCAGAAAATTGTTGTTTATCACACAGATCATGTCAGACCCCACTTGTTGATCCTCAATTGTGTTCAGACAGACAGGTAACAAAATTGCTGCAAAAACCTGCTTGCTGTCAATGAATTCGTGTGATAAGATTCATAGGGTGTTTGTTAATTTGAAAAAAAAATCCATAAAAGAAAACATTGTATCTGAAACGGTTAATGTTAGTTTATTGAAATAGTCAGGCCTCTTTAGAGTGTTCTCACAAACCATAAATCTCATACTTTTCAGGAAAATGTAATCATAAACCTGGCCCTGTCTGGTCATGGAAATGGTCAATATGAAAGTGCCTAGATACCTGCTGCCCTCTGTGTTCTGTGTCTTGAATGTTCTGGTTTTATTGCTCTCTCACTAACCTTGCAAAGGAGAGAGAGGAATTATAGAAGAGATTTAAAATATTGCATGGAGAGGGGCTCATGTTTGGTCATCCTATGGCTTCTAGGTAAAACATAGACTGTAAAGACAAATATCTCTCCTATGAGAATGATTCCATACTGGGAGAAAAAGGGAACATGAAATCTCTGCTCTGTACAGTGTCTACAAGAATCCTGGAATACTCTGTCCATACAATTTTGTTTTAAACATGTATCGAGAGAATTTGACATAATTTTCCTAACATCTATGTCATTGGGATATTTGGTCCCCAAAGAAATCTTCTCTAAAGGACAGAGGTTTTACCTGACTCACTGGTTAACAAATGACATGGAACATTACCCAACTCTTTCACAAGAACAAAGCTTTGGCACTGAGTAGTGATCAACAATTATGAAGTAGCTTTCCTGGAAAGGAGGAGAAATAAGGAACTGATTCTTTATTTTTGGGAAGAGTTTGTTACTGTATTTGAAGAGAGAGCACAGTGGCCTTGTACATAAAATGGGGTTTTATACGTAGTGCTAGTACTGCAAAAAAGAAATATCAACAAGGAAGCAAAGCCACAGACTGTTTACCACTTTACTGTCTTTCACTACAACACACACATGTTTTTGTTTAGCAATAGAGAACTCATTCACACAAAATCTCAACAGTCCCTGAGTTCTGATCCAAGCTGATTGAGCTGGAAGCTCAAAAGCATTGGAAAGCTTGCTTTATTTCTTCCCATTGTCACATGCTTTTGCATTTCCTGACTATGGGCTGAATAATGTAGTCCCTAAGCCACTGGGAGTTTTGTTCATTCCAAGTCTGGGCTTCTGCCAGGGCCAGCAGCAGAAACATAAATATCACAAGGAGGGGCTGTTTTTTCATGTTGCTTTACTCTAACCTTTTCATTTTTTTCCATCTTCTCTGTACAGTAATTGTTCAGTGCCCAGTGGTGAACAGAAAAGCAGGTTTTTAGAAGCTATGAGGAAAAGGAGAGGGAGAAGCTCTACTGTGCCTGCCTCTTGCATTAATGGTATGCTTTGATATTGGATACTGTGGTCAATCTTCATTACTTAGCTCAAAGGTATTGTAGCAGGAAAAGGGCAATGAACACTGATCGGAGGCTGGAATTTTGTATTAAAAGATTGAAATTATGTGGACTCCCCTATGCAGAAAGGAACTACATTGATAAAAGTTTATGAGATGATAGGAAATATAAGGCAAATCAGTGTGGTTTCTTTATTTCCTTCTCATGTGAGGTACAGGAAAAGAATGTGATAAAATAAAGTGTTCAAACAAATAAAAGGAAATACTTAAAATCTAAACCATAATGAATGTGTGGAACAAGAAGGCAGCAGAAATCATGAGCCCTTTGAAGTTAGCTGTTTTGTCTTTGATTTCAGTCAGAGGTTTTACCCCAAGAGGTGAATTGATGAAAATATATATCTGTGGTTAAAGGGAATAGCTTACAGAAGGGGCAGAAACTCTTGCTCCTGAATGAAAGTCAAACAATGCAGTTTACAGGTAGAATGATACTCCTGCCATGGGATAGTTACCATAAAATGGAGTAACTCTTCTGATGTCTGGAGTTATGATCTACTGGCAATGAGTAAAGGCAAGAGAAGAGCCAATGCACTCTATAGTTATGGCAATTCTTCTTTTCTGCATGACTAAAATCAGGATGTGTCTGGAACTATAGCAGATACAGGAGCTAATCCCTCTTTTCTCCAAATTATTTTCCACATACACAGGTTTGGGTTCTAGAGGACAAATATGCAGACTATTCAGTACTAAATATTTTGCCTGTTGCTACTGGTGATAACCTTTTCCAAAAAGGAGTGTATAAATTTAAACAGGACATTAGTACTGGGCAAAGAAGATTTAAGTAATGATGGAACGGCCTCAGTCCTGATCTCCACCCAACCCCAAACACTGCTTGTGTTCATATGAAAGCAAGCCAATAGTTTGGAGTGTTCAAGTTTTTTCCTGTCCTTATATTGTTCAGCAAACTGATAATTTACTTTTGCCTTAAACACAGCCGCAGTTTTCACATTTGCCATGTTCCACACTACAGTTATGTTGCACAGGACAATCCATCCTCTCACTGCTGCTAAGCCAGGCTGGATTAGTCATCTCTGTCTTGGCTTTCATGACTTTCCCACTGCCCTTCCATCCATGAAAACATAGCAACATGGCATGTTGAGTCACCATATTAGCCCAGCTAATCCAGTAGCCTTCTCCGGCAATAACTGATAGCAATTATTTTAAAGGTGTTAACTTAAAAAAAAAAAAATCAAGACAGAACTTGCTTTCAGGAAGAGTTACCTTGGTAGAGTAGCCTGGCACTATGAGGTTTTGTATATTTATTCCAAAATGCTTGGATATATCATGATATGATATGACAATATGATATGTTTATATTATATTATATTATATTATATTATATTATATTATATTATATTATATTATATTATATTATATTATATTATATCATATTATATTCTATTCTATTATATGGTATGATAGTCTTGTTTTAGCAGAAGTTACAGCTGCCCCATCTTGGATAAGTGTTGCATAATGTCAAATTAGGTAAATCTCTTTTTAATTCCTTTCATTACTTAGTACCTAACTTATGCCAGGAAGCACGAAGATACTTTTTCCCTTCTACACATGAAATGAATCCTGTGTAATAGAACTGTAATTTATCCATTTCTGGTTCCCATTAAGCTTTTGATTTCAAGAGTATGCACAGGCAATGAGTTTCATGTGTTACATATAAATGTACTTCCTTGTAATTGTTTGAAATTTGTTGCCTCTAAGATTTGTTCAGTTCTTGTACTAGGAAAAAGATTCTGATCTTCACATCTCAGTGGAATACTTTTGTCATTGATCTCTGTACTGATGTCATCCTCTACCTTCTGCATACGTTTATCTTTTTGTCTTCTGCCCCTCCTTTCAGCTTCACACTGCTTTTATATGTTTGGAACTCTTCCTTTTGCTTCAGATCCTTTTTGAAAAAACTCACTTCCTTTTGTGAACTTTATTACCTGACTATTTTATGATAGTATCCAGCTCTGCAACCTCCTAGACTATTTTCAAGTGAATTGCTTTCCTGTGAAAGTTCCTAGACCATGTCTTGCCAGAAACATTTGTGTTTCATGACTTGCACTCCCACTCTGTGATTACTGACCTCTCTTCCTGCAGTGCCCCAGAGATGAGCAGTAAAATACTGCTTATATAGGTCCATGCAAGAGGATCTAATAGTGAGTGTACGCCCATAAAAAGTATTTTTACCTCATTTTGAGAACATATCCTTGAACTCCATAAAGAATATGTTACTTTATGCATCCAATGCTTTGTTTACAAAGTAGCCCATGTGATTTACAAAAGTGATTATGTTAAGAGTGTGTGATTGAAAAAGTCCAGCACTGTGAGTGTAAAATTTGTTGGCTGTAGCCATGGAGAGGTGCATGAGGCAAAAATTGTACACTTTCAGCTAAGTGTTGTGTGCTGTATTTTTATTATAATATTTTTATAGTGTGTACTTAGACTGTGTGTGACATTATGCTGGCCTTTGAGAAACACTAAATATTTATGTGAACTATGAAGCTGCTAAATATCTAGTACTGAAGGAAAGGTCCATCTCTTTTATTAAACCATTGACCAATACACAGTTTATAACTTAATGCAGCACCAGAGTAGTAAAAGCATTATGTGAGCTCTCCTGTATGGTGTCATTCGAATTTAAACAAATATTTTTAAAAGTTATGACTTTACCTTCTTTCCACATAATGCTCCTTTTTCATCTGGCTTAGTATTTCCTTTAATTTATAGTTCCCTAAACTGTAGGCATACATAAAGGCCCCTTTAGGCTGAATGAAAGGAGAATTATCAATAGCCAAACTATGATTTATAAGGAAAAAAAACATAAACGGCAAAAGAAAACTGAATTTACTCTACCTACAAAAATTATTTTAAAAATTTCTCTGTATTTTTCATGAGTTCATTTAAAAGGTGTATTTAGACCTGCCCTTTTTTAACCTGCTATTGTGAATTCATATTGGATTTTGTCATTTTTGTTGCTGCTGCCTTCTTTACTCCTTGAACAGATGTGAATGAATGGAAGTACTGGAAATGTGAATATTCTTAGTCCACCTGAGAACCAGTGGCAGAATTTGCTCCATATTTCACACTCTGGTCCAGGCACCACTTGCTCCAGCAGTCTGATTTCAGGCTCACCAGAGCCAGGGGCTTGTCATCCCTTAGCCCTTCACAGGTAACAGGCATGGTGCTCTCTGGGTGGCTGGGTTGGTTGGGTTGGGTTGTCTGTGAGGGCTTTTGGCGGGGAGAAGGTATTGCAGAGTGTTTTGGGGTGTTGTTATGGTTTAGTTTGGGCTTTTTTGTTTGTTTCTTTGGTTTTTTTTCAGTTGGCTTTGTCAGTGATTGGTGATGAATTCCACAACCTCTTCTCTTGGATACTGGTGTCTGAATAAAATGACTTTACCACATTTGTAGAGTTGTCATTTTAAGCACAAGGCTTAAGCAGTAGCTATTTCTGAGTATTTGTCATCCCTGGAGCTTGGCAGAGGCAAAGCTACTTAACACAGGCTGCTTCTTAACTCTGCCTTAGAAAAGTCTTGAGGACCCTTCACATTTCTGCTGCTGTGCCTTATCTCTAAGGCTATGACAATCAGAATGAAGCTGAGCAGACAGGTTTTGTTTGTGCTGTTGAAGATAACAGTATAAAGTTCCAATGGCAGCTCTCTTGTTTTTTGGCAATACTGTAACTTTTAACACTGACTTTAGTCACAGTGCACACCACATAGACCACTCACCAGCAATAGAGAAAAATCAGGGTATTTTACAGGTTTCCCATGAGGATACCAGTATAATATAATCTGGGACATAAATAGGTCTCTGGTAAGGCATAAAACATAATGTTTCTAGTGCTTCATAAAATCTGATGGTCATACGTGTGATAAATGGTGCTGTGGTCAGCTGCAGCATCCCAGCCAGTCGAGAATTTAGTGTCTGTGGGAGATTACTCTGCTTCCACATTTTGAAATCAGCCTACACCTCCAGAGCAGAGCTTATCTAATGTTAAGCAGTTTAGAGCTAGTGGCTGAGAGATCTCAGCTGAGGGTTCCTGATATTGGGTTTTGATTTTTCTACAGAATCAGTTCTCAAGCCCAGCAGTTGTTGTTCTAATTAGCTAGCATGATTAACCTGTTGAAGATAAAATGTTAACCTGTAATTTGTACTGATGAAAATAATTCCTACTCCAGCTAAAGTTTATCTTTTAAAATAAGTACCAAATCTGAATGTAAAGACATTATTACACCAGTCTTGAAAACTTGCTATACACTCAGACAGATTGTTATGCTGCTTAGTTACCATTTCTTTTAAACATCACTGTGTCCTCATTTGCCTTCATTCTGTGTTGGCCCTAAAGAGCTTCAATATTTCTGTTATGGCACAGTAAATAGTTATGATCACTTCCTTAGAATTTTTTATGAACATGAGTAGGAGGACCATGGAGTGAAAGGAATCATGGAAGAGCAGCTATAAACTGGATTGTGGGACAGACTTTGGGCCTCCAGACCCAGGGCTGACTTGTGATCTGACTCTGTGGAAAGGCTGGAGACACTCAAAGAGCTGCTGTGAAACATGTGCTGAGGTTCAGCACAATCCATCTCCTAGAGCAGCCTTGGTGCACCTGGCCACTGAATGACCCCAACCCTGCAGCACAGATGTGCTCAGGGAAACAAATTTTCAGGTGCCCTTTTCTTATGTATGCTCATTTTTGATCCAGAGAATACCTGATTATGATTTTCATAAGAACTGATGCTATATTCTTTGTCTCAGTTGGATTTCCCAAAAGAAGCAGTCTCTTCTGGGATTTAACTCCCAAGTAATTGTCCAAAATCATGTTCCAATACAAAAATATGACCACCAATATTACCCAGGATTTTTTTTCTCTGGTTCTTTCTTTTTTATTTCAACACCTTTTAAACTGATTATAAATGTTGTCTTTTTATTCATTGACTGAATCTTTAAAGACTCAACTCAAATAAACACTCAAGAATACCCAGACCTTTGAGGGTTGCATAAGCTGAGGGTTTTTTTCTTATTTCTGTCTTAAGGAAAGGACCCTAAATACATAAAATAGGTATCAGAAAAATGTTAAGACTTTGACAATATCAGTTTAGGCTCAGCATTAATCTTGGGCAAAGAAGTAAACTACCCATAACTGAATCTTACCAACCACATGTAATGCACTATAAAGCAGTAAAAATCTGCCCCAGCTCCTTTTTGACTGAACATTCTAATTGAGTCTGGAGATCTCCTTCCAGCTCTGATGGTGACCTGCTGGTTTGACTCAAGGTTTGCTTTCCTCACTTCTAAATCCTTGTCCTCATCAAAGAAAGAGGGGTATGGCTTTGTGGTCACCTTCTTTTCTGGACGTGTGGGGTGAGAATTTCTCTGATGAAAAGTACTGGAAGATAATTAAGTGTTTGTTGTTTGTTTTTTTAAAGGGACGATGCACAAAATAATTAATAGCTAGAAACATTCTAATTCTTAGAAAACAACAAGAATTTGCTGTTGTCAAGTAATGATATCCTTGCAACCCACCTCCTGTTAAGCAGAATCTATTGCATACAAAGCTTATTCCATATGATAAGGCAGGCAAGCTCTCTCACAGGGTGCAGTATGTGCCACACTGCAATACAGAGAGCAGAAATATTATAACAGCAGGAGGCAAATAAAGCAGCAGATCACAGCCTTGGTGCTCTCTGAGAGCCAGGAACTGTAAAAGCATAGAGACCTTGCCTGTCAGGTCAGTCCTTCAGCACAAATGGAGGCAATTTGACAGCCCCACACCTTTATGCCAGGCTGGTACCGTGGGGAAACAGGGGAGGGTTTTGTCCCCACTCCACCCTGGCACCAATCCTGCTCCAAACCCTGCAGCATCCCAAGACTCTGCTGGCCAGGAGCTGGGTGCCAAATCTGAGATCCCAATCTGGGCTCCCCAATCTGGGCTCCCAAATCCGACCTCCCCAATCTGGGCTCCCCAGTCTGGGCTCCCCAGCTGCACCAAGCAGGCTGCACTGGCAGCAGGGCCAGCACGGCACCTACACCCTGTGCTGCACCAGCCTTCACCTCTTTCTGCGGGCTCACACTGCCTCAATCAGTCACTAATGAGGCGCAAAATCACGGATCCTATTAAGTGAACGCTGCATTAATAATGCTGGCAGGGTTTCAAGTCTACAGATGTTATTTATAATACATGACTAAACAAATACGTATTCCCTTTGAGACTCAGACTCAGGAGCAATTTGCTGATTTCCTGTATAGGCTAGTTCATACAGAGATTTGAGTAAATACTGCATTTGAATGTCTTGCTTGGATCTACATTCTGTAACTGTAGTAGACAATCATATTAATGTTCAATTTTAAAATTATTGGAAAATTTGTTTTCAGATATTAGGTACTGGTCCTATCTAGTTCTCATGGAGGAATACATTTTTCTGTATTGCTTCTTTAAAGAAAAATAAAATATTCAAATAATATAGCCTTCAGTTACACAGCACGGTGGAAATGAGTAGAAAGGTTAAAGAAAATTCTGGAAAAAAATGGGCTTAGCTGAAGCTAAAAAAAAATTAATTGAAACCCCATACTTTCTCCTTTCTATGTGTTTTTGAAATTAATTAATCTTATTTATGAAATTTAATTGCCAATGAGATATTTTGTCATTTTAAAGATGTTTCTGAGTAATGAATCACTTGATCTTGATGTATTTTTTTTTTCTTTTCTGGCTCTTATAATATTGCAGGTATACAGGGGCCTTCAAAACTGAAGAAAGCTGTGAACTCACAGACATCTCTGGTCCACTCTGCAGGCTTTTACATACATCAAGAGAAAGAGGAAAAATATTTTACAGCAAACCAGAAGTGTCCTAAATTAAGGTACTCCATGAAGAGGATTTTTTTTTAATTCATAATGCTGATCATTGAACAATAATAGTTTGCTTCAAATTTCTCAGACTATTTAAAGACAAAGCAGTGATAACAGTGAATAGACAGACAAAAACATAATTTGTGACATACCTCTTATCTGCTTATTCTTCTCTTTTAAATTCTGAAATTAAAAGCAGTTGAAAATAATACATACTGACATGTAAAAAGAGCTGACTGCATGATGACTAAATAATGTGCTATAAAAATATCACTTACCATTGACATTGCCAAGTATCTTCTTATTTAAATCTGCTATTATCATGTCTTCTTGGATATGAAATATGCAGCAGAGTCCATTCCCAGTGTGCTAAATACTTGAGAAAATAATAAATGCAGTGTAACTCCACAGTGTTTGGATATTTGACTGTAACTCCTAAGCATTCAAAGTGACTACTCAATATAACAACTTTTCCTCTGCAGAAAATGCCTTGCTATTTGCCAGCAAATCTTTAATGCTTTAGATTGGGTATTTCCAACTACCGCCCTACTTGCTAGGCAGATGTGTATAAAAGAGATGTTATTTCACTGAATCAACCACTGAGATCGTAACCCTTTTCCTGTACCACAAACAGAAATATAAAACCTCAGACTTTCCTTTTGGACTTTTACTGACTTGTGTCTGTTGTAAGAAAGCAAAACACAACTAATCCGAGCGCCAGTGTATGGAAAATGTGTTAAAACGTTTTAGATCATCTCACTGCTTCTCATTCCTGCAATTCATTGGTTAACTGGCTCCTTCTGTGTTTATGTAGTTGCATGGTACAAATACAACACCTAAACTTCTCGCCCAAAGTTGAAATGATTCATTTATTACTTTTTACACCACCCCCAGGAAAAAAAAAAAAAAAAGAAGGAAGAAAGAAAACACACAGTGCTCATTTAACCCAAGTGAGTGAAAACGTCTTTCATAAGGTCTGTAAGGGTTTTGGGAGGTTTTTCTTTGGTGAATAAAGTCTGTGTAGTGGAGGGAAGAGTTTTGTCTGAGGATGGTAGAATTTAGGCTACAGCAAACAGACAAACTAGGATCCTCTTACTGTGAGAAAATAAGATAGCAGTAAAGGAGGTGCAAATGTTATTTATTCATATGAGATCAATTGTGATGGAGTCATTGTTTTGAGTGAAGGCAGGATCAAGAGAGGAGGTATTTTTGTGAGTGCAGTGAGTGCCTTGCTCTCTGAAATTGTATCAATATTTATTTAGGTCCTTTGGTGAGGCAATTACCCTAAATAGATAATACATAGGCTTTCCCTCTTCTGGGTGCCTATAAATATTAGTTAACCACATTAATTACAACCATGGGAAAAGCACAAGCAGAACAATGTGAGGGCCATACTAAGAAGTGGTAAAAAGGATTAAATGAAGACATTTCCTCTGCTACTTTTTCTATAATGAGGACAATGTGGCTATGTGATAAGGCACTCTTCCATAGGATGTACCACCCTGATTTCAGATACTGCCTGTGGATGCAGCCCCTGTTAGACAGAAGGGATTTCAGTGGGTAACCCTTGTTCTCCCAACAGCTACTCTGCCTTCATTCATCATCCTCTCCAGATGGACATTAGAATTAATCAGGTTCTAGCCCTAACAGCTTGTTTCAGGACCACAGCTGGAATCAGCGTGTCTAGACTGATTTATTCCTGGCTCTCAGACCTATGTGTATGCTACTATTCCATATGCTTCCCGTTAAAGAGGTAATAGTGCCATTTCATAGCATAACTTCAGTTTTTCTTTCTTCCTCCCCTTTTTTTTGTAATTAGATATTATTTTGCTTGTGTAGGAAAATGTCCTGCCCCTGCTCTGAAGCAGGTCAAACTTCCAGACAAACAAAATAAAGTTCACAAAGGAAACAGTTAAATTTTTTGACTGCCTTCGCTGTCACAGAAAATGCTAAACACATTTGTCAGTTATATAAAACTGTGTAAGTTCATATTTTCCTCTCCTGGTTTCACAGCCCAGAGCAGCAAAAGGACCTTGTGACATCTCTAGGCTCTCAAGAGTTTTGTAATAAAAATAAAAATAATCCTGGGCAGAAAACAACACTCCACACCCTGCTACTGCTGAGCAAATGAGTTTCCCATTTTCCTCACTTATCCTCAGACTAAACAATGTTAAATTTACAATTCTAACATCTATTTATAGCAGGCACTCATCCCTAAGGACCACAGAGGTTGGTGTATATCATTGTCCTTAATCCACAGGCCGGCTTTCAACTTGGCTTGTCACGTAATTAGGAGAGAAATCTCCTGCCTTAATTAATATCTAAGCAATTTATGCACTGATGCATAGATAAAGCCCCCAAGGTGGGTGGTGTGTGTAGGGGTGGAAGGGGGTATTCATCTGCTGTCAATTAACCTCTGATTGTAGTTTTTCATGTTTACTGTGAATAGTAACTGATAACATTAACAGCACCATGGGCTTCTGCTGGGGGTCTGCAGAAGTTCCTGTGGGTGCTGCGGGGAGGGAATTCCTGGGGTCTGACAAAACTGGTAATCCTGACAGCACACACTATGCTGGTAATCCTGACAGCTCACACTGGGGGAACTGAGCTGGGAGCGTGCCTGCAGGAGGGGAAAGTGGGCTAAAAAGCCATGGGAGGATCAGGGGGTAACTGGTGTGAGACTGTGGAATCAGCAGAGGGTAATTTGGAGATGTAAGTGCAGGGGCTGAGGGGAAGAAAGGGATTAAAGGAGGAAAGAATTCAATTAGGGTGCTAGGCTGAATTTGAGCAAGTGGGTAAGGACTGAACACAAGGTGCTGGGTATAGGCATTAGCTGAGCCAAAGCTGGGTAAGACCCAGCACTGAATTGGGCTCTGCAGTGAGGTTCTGTGACAAGCTGACCCTTGGCATTTTCCTCTAGAGCAGCACAGAAATTACATTCAGGCCTCGTGCTCAAAAGCAGCTCATCCACAGTCTGTATGCCACTTATCTCAGTAGATACGACAAAGGGACAGATATGCTCCTGCTAACCTTTTTGCAACCTCAAGGACTGAGAAATAAAGAAGTTATTTAGAAAAATAAAACCTTAATTTGAAGGATGTCATAATTTTGATATCCTTTAAATATCTTTCACTTTGTACTTTATCAACACCCCTAAAATCTAATTAAATTTCTTTTTCTAGGTGAGTTCCATTTCTTTTCATATAACGAAAGCAAATAACCTAATCTTAAAATGAAGAATACTTTGTTGATGTATTTGGTGGCATTGTTGTTCTTTCCAGTACTATTCTTCAATCCATCTTTAATATAGCTTGACATTTTGTTTGCTTTTTTTGACCACTAGTGTGCCCTGAGTAGAAGTTTCCATTAAGCTGTCTGCAGTAACGCCTAGATCTTTTTCTTGAGTGATTTTGCAAACCATCAAGTGTATATGGGTAGTTCAAGTTGTTCCTTTTAGTACACATTACCTCATGCTTGCCTACACTGAATTTCAGCTACCATCTTTTTTGGTCACTTCTTTTAAGCTTTGTTTTGTTTTGTTTGCTCTTGGGGCTTTTTTTAAGTCATGACTTTTTTAAATGATCCCATAATTCCCATTTATGCTGTCTCTGCTACTGAATGCTTCCTTTCCAGATGAGTAGCAAATAGATTAAATTAACCCCATTTTTGGTGTAGGTCTTAGGATCTCTACTTGTTAATATACTTCCCAGTTCAAAATAACCATTGACTTGTATTTTTTTATTTAGTCTTCATAACTTTCTGAGTCATAATATATTTCTTAGTCCTCTGCTAGTCTTTACCCTTAGACATTTTATGACATTTAAAATAAACAACTAGGCTATACCCCTAAGATTTTACTTTTATCCATTATTCTAATGTCTTTTTAAAATAATTTAATCATAATTGGCTGTTAAAACTTTATAGGGAGAAGTACAGCTAGAGTAGCTAAAGTCAAAGCTAGTTTACCTAGAAGAGCAAAATGGCAGGACGGAGGAAGTCAAAACCTCAGTTTGCAAGAAGAGTCTCTTTCAGTCTCTCCAGAGCAGTGTGGAATAATCCTCTCACAGCTGAATTCAGAAAAGCAGCTCCCAGGTGCTCCTAGTCTAACTACTGAGCTCAAGCCTGCTCTTCTGTGCACCAAAAGTCCCCTCTCCCTCTTCCCCTCCCTGCCTCCTTGGCCGCAGTGGAACAGCTTGTTCTGCTCTCAAACTGCTCAAGCAAAGAGAAATGGGAGCTGCAGTGGGGTGTGAGGATGTAACTCTTTTCTCCAGCTATCTCCAGGCCACCCACCCTCACTGAGGTCTTGGATGCAGCCTTGAAAATGGATGCATGTGCCAAAAAGCATCAAGCAAGAACAGGATCCTTACTGCTGAATAAAGCATTAAATGAGCACTCTATGTCCAATTCTGGCATCCACTCATTTTAACACAGATGGCAACAAGGTGGGAAGAGTTCAGAAAGCCATTATAAGAAGTCTGAGGACTGTGTTTTGCAGTAAGAGACTAAGAATTTGTTTTATTTTCTTCCAGCAGATTGTTGCAATGTGATGTCTTTGCAGTCTGTGTACATGTCAGCATGAGGCAGAATTCGGAGCACGGGAACATGAAGGCAGATGCACTTGAATCACAAATATGGTTACACAGAAATTCAGCATTAAGGTAATTAGAACTTCCTAGAATGTTTATTCTGCTCTATGCAGTTTATCACAGCAGTGATATACTGGTTTTGGAAAAGTGGCTCATCTCACCTCAACATTAATACCCTCCTAATCAATTTTGGGAGCTACCTTTCTGTTCAGCTCTTTTTTTGAAAGCCTGCTCAGTTCATTCGTATTTTGCATTAATGACTGGAAGAATGCAATATAGTAATTGGTAAGATCAGGTGAAATGAATTCACCTCACTAATGGTTTGTTTCCTTTACCTAAGTGAAGTTATTAATTGTAACTTACTATGTGTTGTCCTGTTGTACAAATGTTATGTAGCTTAATGAAATGTGACACTTAAACCCAAT